AAAACTTAAGTAAAGATAATTACGTATAGCGTACTCCTTACTTAATATTATTAGATGCATATTGCGCTAGGTAAATTTTGACAGGACAGTAAAATCTTTATTTTAACACTTTTTCTAGAAATTAAATTTTTATGTTTCGATTAGTGTATTAAGAAGAAGAGTGAAACTGCGAGAAAAATGGGAAATTTTAGAAATTTCTGCAGCAAGTGAAATAGAAAAAATGAGGCCGATAAAAGATGTTTTTTATTCCAAAATTAAAGAGTTGAAGGAAATAGAATCTCTCAATTCTTATATAAAATGGATTTTGAAAGTAGAAGATGAAAAGTATGTACTATTGTCTAACTAACTGATTATATGACTTGGCTACAAAATTTTCGGTTTTATGCATTTTTTTATTACAACACTTTGTTTTGATGAATGTGATCAGGTCTACCAAGAAATCAGGGAAACCTAGAATTGTCAGGGAATAATGCAATTTTTGTGTCAAAACCGGGAAAAAATTTTGCAATTAACTTGAAAAATTACCAATTTTAAAATTGAAAAGAAACCAATAATAATCAAAATGTACAAATTCAGCATCTATTTTTATTATTCATTGTAAAATTCTGCTGTAACATGGTTAAATTTTGTAGAGTTATTTCTAATAGAATAATTTTTGTTTTGAAACTACTCTTTATCTAAAAATTTCTTGTTTTCAATTTTTCTCAATTATTATCATATTTATAGTTTAATAATACAAAGATTATAAAAGTAAAGCTTTCTATGTAAATTTTGTAACATATTTACTATCTGTTATCTGTTTGTTCACTAAAAACAAAGGAAGGAAGTGTTAGTTTTTACACTGTCATGAAACATTTTTACCGAGTAAAAATGTCATTGTCTTAGATATTATTTTTTTAATAACTTTAAATATGCATTTTTTACACTCTAATGAAAAACATTTTGCGAAGTAAAAATGTAATTGTCTTACATATTATTCTTTTAATATGCTGCATTTTTTCCGATACTAGTATTCACCAGAAGAATTAAAAACTCTGTTTTTTTCTTTTTTAAATTTTTTTTTCAATATAAACTATGGGCATAATTCCAAAAGCAAAAGTTTTAAGCAATATAAATTATTTCTCTGAAAGAAAAAGTCTTTATCAATTAGAAAAAATCTTATTTTACCATTATATTTGATATACAGTCAAACTTGTTTTTAATGCATTTTGAGCTATATCCAATCTCTTAAAACACGCTTTTTGAGACGTGTTTATTTTCTTAAACTTACATTCAAACTGTGTCCATTTCTTAAAAACACATTTTGAACTGTGTCCAGAATATAAATCTCACAAATATACTTGTATGGTTTACCAAAACTTCTTGAACATTGTATAGAAGTTTGGAAAAAAAAGTATTTGACTGTTCCTGAAGCTTTTATTTTTGTTTGAATGATTTAGAAACATTCCGTTAGTTTAATTTCTTCAAAAATTGTATGCAGATGAATAATAAAGCTAAGCATCTGAAGTTCATCATACGTTTTGAATCTCACAGCTGCAGTAACTTATCAAAGATATTTTTTGCAAACCATTGAATAAATTCCTTATCTAATGTCATTATGTGTCTCTTTTAATATACCTGACCAAATATTTGTAAAACATGGACTCTTTCAGTGATTGTTCAGAAACAATTAAACCATCACAAATTATATGTGATGAATGGAATTGGTCTAAGGAATTTCAAACTTTCCGAAAATTAATAGGTGTTCGTGATAATGTATTTTGTGCCAGAGTGCTTAGACAATGCAGTCGATAAAGGTCTTGCCAACTTCGCTGTTAGAGAGCCAGTGGTTGTGAATTTGATTCTAGCTACCGACTAAACAATTGGCATGCATTTGGTGTAGGGATGTTATAAATATTTAGCCCATTTGCCGAATATTCAGTTGGCCAAATATTTTTTGGAAAAATGAGTTTTGGCTAAGATCTTTTGGAGTTCTTTATTAATAGATTAAATAAAGAATAATCTAAAATAGTATTTTTATTATGAATTATCTGCTATAGTTTTTACAGATATTTGTATAGTTTAAAATTTATGTGCTTGCAAATTTATGTCCTGGAAGACAAATGGAAGAGCAAAATTCCAAGAAATGAAACTTGATTACTTTATATTGAATCCTATGTTTTGTACAGCTGATATTTGTTCGTCATTTTCAGATGAACATATATTATATTCAGCACTTTTGTTTTAAAATTTGAGAACGCTTTTTTTTTTTAGAAAAAAATTATAGTGTGTTTTAATGGAACATTTTATGATAGATTTGATTGTTACTTTTTTCTTGTATGGTACAACAAATAGACGGTAACAAAAGAGCTGTGGTTTTCAACTTTAAAGTTTTTAAGGAATAAGAAAAAAAATTTCTGTTTCTCTTTTGATTAATTTTCATTTTATCAGTGAGTTTATTATGACGCAGCCTTTTTTAAAGAGTGTTTCTAATGAACGTTATTCTTTCATCGTCATTTTTTTTAGAAAAATATGTAAGAAAGGTAAACTGAGATTTTTAATGTTTTTTTTTTTTGGAAAATTAAGATTGATTTTTGTTTTGGTTCTTATTTAGCTTTTTCTTTTTAACTTTTATTTTTTATTGACGTTCTTATTAGATTGATCGATTTTTAGTTTTTCTGTTTCGCTTTTGTATTAATCTTTTGCTTTCGTGGCATTTCTTTGATAACACAACATTTTTAAAAGCATTTTTGATAGACTAAATTTCTTTTAACCTTTATTGTATAAATTTTTTTTTTGGAGAGTATTAATTTTAGCATTAAAGTTAGCAAAAAAATAAAGAGAATTTTTGTTTTCTTTGCTATTTTTCTCTCTTTTTTTGTTCAAATTACAACTTCAGCTTTTTTTTTTAATAGATTTAAGTTTTTTTTTTTTATCTTAAGTATGTCTAATGGATATCGATTATATTTTTCCCCTTTACCACATACCATCAATACAGCTAAATTTTCAGCAATGATTAAACTCACTTATATATAAATAAAATAGTATTTCTGAATGATTTTAAAAAAATGTTGCTGTTCGTCCGATTCCCCCCCCCCCGAATATTCGAACAAATCGTTGCATCACTAGTTTCGAGCAAGGTCCACATGAAATTTGTCGCCCTCTTGTTGGTTGGAAAGTTTGGAGAGAGCGTACTAACTCAGGTGCTGTTCACATCATCTGACTGGGGTCAAGATTTAGGTGCTTGACCATAATTGGATGGATGTATTTTATGTTATGTGTATAATGTTCCCTTTATGAGATTCAATCAAAATAAACATTATTTCCATCAAAGTATAGAAAAAAGGAAATAATAAATATTTAGTTATTTTTCAAATTATTATAGTTCCTCTTTTTATAATTTTAGCTGACAAGGGTTTATAGAGCACCCTTGTTTCATTATAAATGTGTTACACTATTCTATTTTTTATTATTTTATATATTTTATATTTAATAAGTATTAATATTTTTATTATTTTGCTTGCATTATAATATATATATTATTTTGTGTCTTAATCATACTTTCTTATTTGTAGCGAGTTCCAGGCTGTTCTTACCAGTTTACATTCTGTTTTGTCAACAAACATAAGACTGCCTGCCAATCAGGCAATTGATGTTCTGCTGAAATTCAAGCAATTATTTCTCTCTTTGTGTAAAATTTCCTTACCGTATCCTTATCATTTAAATTTAAAAATTTTGATAATTTTTGTGAAAACTGATTCTTGTTTGTTAAAAATTTGAAGCTTGAGTTTTAAGAGTATATATAGTATTTCTAACGTTAAAAAATGTGAAATTTTTTGGTGTATAATCAGATTGTTTTTGTGACCCAGTTTTTTTCTCCACAAATATAGCTGCTTTTTAAAAAAAAATGTATGGATGTGACTTCTCTTTTCTGACATATGTCCTCCTGCTGTCATATAAAGAGTGTTATGATGGCACAATCGGTAAGGTAGTCACTCTTACCACTAGGGAAGAGCAAAGAAATTTAAGTTCAATCCTAGTGGATAACTAAACGACTGGCGTTCTTTTGGTTTTTCTTTATTCAAATTATCACAAATTGATTTTATTTAGCTCACTCACTGTATATTTTACTTATTTTGGAAAATGAATTTGATTCAGTATGTAACTTTTATATTAAATGAATAATCCCAAAAAACTGAAGTGGTAAAGGTATAACTTGATTAAAAAACTTCATTCATTTCAAAGATATACAAATTGAAAACAACAGTTGCCATGTTTCAAGCACTCACAAATATGTTTCTATTCTTAAGATTTTCCAGGCATGAATGAGAAGAAACATAAGTGATTTGAAATAAATGTAAAGTTGCCAGCAGAAAAATGGAAAAATAAAAGTGAGAAACAAAACTAGAAAAACTGCAGTAGCTGAGAGAGAAAATAAGATTAAAAACACAACTTTACATCTATTTTAAATTACTTTAGCTTCTTCTAATTCAGATCTGCCAAGTTTAGAAAATGGGTGCCTATTTTTAAGCACTTGAAACATATCAATTGCTATTTTCAATTTATACATTTTTTAAGCGAATGAAGTATATAATCAAGTAATATTACCTTCGTTGGAGTTATTTTATACATTTTAATAGCAATTAGAAAAAATGTTCTTTAACTTAGTATATGCTACATTTATCATGTTATTTATATCAGAAAATAAAATTGTTTTTCATTGCACATTTTTCATAGCTTATTAGCAAAAGTATTAGTGAATTAATAGTAATGCTTGCATCAGAAAATAAAATTTTGATTTAGTAGATAATAAGTATCATAAACTTTTTTTAGTTGAAAGATTTTTTGAGTATTTAACAAATCATGTTAATTATTCCATTAAATACTATTGTGATTCATTTAAGTAAGTTTCATGGACTTTTTTTAAACTATTATTATGTATTACTTATTATAAAATATTATTAACAGAAATTAGTAAAAAAAATTCTTAACTGACAGTGATACTTATGTCAAAATTCAAGATGTTAAGGTCAAAGTGGAAGACACCTCATTACTGTTACCTCTTCAACTGCTACTTCAACCTTTGCAGAAAAAATTTGTTTCATTTCATGGGAAAGAAGCCCACTAACCGACTAGATAAGGTATTTTTTATACATCGTTAAAACATTTGCATAAAACAAAAATGTTTATTGACTAATTTTACAGTGCATTTGAAAGTTAAACATTTCTGAGTCTTTATTCCTGTATTACTGTTTCTAAGAAAGAAAACAATGTTTAAAAATTAAAAAAAATAGCAACAGGGAAAATTGAAGAAATTGAAAATTTTACTCCAAAGAAAAAAAAATTTCTACTCAGGCTTATTTGTAAAACCATTTTCCATTAAACCAAATTAAATTTCTATCCAATCTAATAAAAGGAGCATTCACGTTCGATGCATACTTTTTTGAATGGGACTGTCTGAAATTTAAATTTATATTTTAGTTTTATGTATAAACTCTTGTTTTTTTTTCAACATTTTAAAATTCATCAAATAAGTAATAAAAGTAGTAAGCTTTGGAAAAATAGAATTGCAAAATTTGTTTTCATGTGTGCCATAATAAATTTGTACTTCATATTTTGTTAATATTTGGCCAATTTTGCGTAATTTAAATCTGTGTCCAGAGCAGTATGGGCACTATAGTATATTTGCTCATGTGAATATGTTATTGTTTTCAATTTATTATTACAAAATTGCCAACGAATTTATGATCTGAAATAATACATTGATTCTGATACTATTCTGCTCCTTGGGGCAGTAAAAAAATCGCCAAAATGTTATTGATGTGAGTGATGCTTAATAAACTGTGGTATTATTTCCAGTAGTAGTAAATAAAGAAAAATAGCAGGGAAAATACTGCAGAGAAAGAACAAAAAACACCCAAGTACAAGAACTGAAGAAAGGCCATAGTCATCGTATCAAAAGCTCTCTCTTGGGATTATTTCGCAGTCCTCGTAATCAAGTTTGAAGAGTGCATTTTTTAAAAATATTTTACAAGGGTCATTGAACAGCCGACCCAAATTTGGGGGTACGACTACTATTGTTCAATTCCGCAGCCTTGTAATTTGGAACACAATCCAGAAGACAAGAGAATTCCTGTATCAAATGTTGGGAGAAATTTGCTTTCATGGAAGACTTTTTGATGGAACCAACCTGGATGAGCGTTACATGGAGAGGAAAACCACGAGAACCTCCCATGGTTAGCTTGGTAGCAAAGACTTGGTGCAAGCTGGATACGAATTCGTATCGACCATCGTAGTTTGTTTCATCCTAATTTGTAATAATATTAAGTTTAAAATAATTTTATTTTATAACATAAAAATCTGTATTGTTTACTTAATTTTTTGTATATTTTTAAGATTGCATATTTTTTTTCTTCTCTTTAGCCTGAATGGTATTTGACCCAAATATTGACTTGGATTTCAGACCATTCACTTTTTTTGGAGAAAATTGTTCAGCCTATTTTAGAAAATGAAGGCATGTCTCAATATAATGCACAAGTATGTAAATATTTTTTCATCACACTATATTTAAACTATTTTGAACTGAATTTTTTCTATTACTTATTTGCTTAAAATTCACATATCTGTTAATATTATGTTGTGTGCATATCTATCTATATTCCAAATAACATTAAGTATTCAAATTAATTTACTTTAAGTTTTACTATATGATAAAAAAATGGATAAAAATTTGTCTTTTAAAAATAATACCTGAGTAATACTTTTGTAATTCACCAGATACAGCTAAATTGCTCCTATTTTACTGCAGTTATTAAAAATAATTTATTTAGTTTAGTGTTATTTGCAATATATAGCACACAGTTTTAAAATTACTTGAGTAAAAGTTAAATATTTTAATGTTTTTAAAAATTATTTTTGTTGAGTTGACAAAAATAGGTCCCAAGTCTCCCCGGCTATTTTTAAATGAAGTTGCTATTTTAAAATTTATTATTACCTTTGCTGCACTCTTAAAGTTTTGACATGATAAAGGTGTTTTATTAACTTTTCCCTTAGTTACTAACATATTTGCTTTAAATTTATTGTTTTAATGATCATTTGATTTTTTTTATTTTGCTAAGACCAAAAAACATTTTTGTTTGCATAAACATGATTTTTTTAATCTGCTCAATATAAATTGAATTGCCGTGTCCTCTTCCTTCTCTGTTACTATATTAATGGTAACTTTATGCTTTTACTTTTTATTTTTCCTCTCTGCTATTAAGGTGCCTCACTACCTTGAAAAGTCGAATTTCGATGAACTTTTCGAAATTGAGATTTTTTAAGTTTAAAAATATTTGGAATCTTATCTTTCGATTGGTGGTAAAATTTCGTTGATACGATAATTCTAACCCGAGATATGTGCATTTGAAAAAGTATTAGTNCACACTGTATTTAAGCTATTTTGAACTGAATTTTTTCTGTTACTTATTTGTTTAAAATTCACATATCTGTTAATATTATGTTGTGTGCATATCTATCTATATTCCAAATAACATTAAGTATTCAAATTAATTTACTTTAAGTTTTACTATATGATAAAAAAATGGATAAAAATAATGCCTGTAGATATAGAGTAGTTTCATGTCTTTTAAAAATAATGCCTGAGTAATGCTTTTGTAATTCACCAGATACAGCTAAATTGCTCCTATTTTACTGCAGTTATTAAAAATAATTTATTTAGTTTAGTGTTATTTGCAATATATAGCACACAGTTTTAAAATTACTTGAGTAAAAATTAAATATTTTAATGTTGTAAATTAAATATTTTAATGTTTTTAAAAATTATTTTTGTTGAGTTGACAAAAATAGGTCCCAAAATAGGCTGGTCTATTTTTAAATGAATTTGCCATTTTAAAATTTATTACTACGTTTGTTGTACTCTTCTTAAAGTTTTGACATGATAAGGGTGTTTTATTAACTTTTCCCTTAGTTACTAACATATTTGTTTTAAATTTATTGTTTTAATGATCATTTGATTTTTTTTATTTTGCTAAAACCAAATCAAACTTTTTTGTTTGCATAAACAATATTTTTTTAATCTGCTCAATATAAATTGAATTGCAGTGTCCTCTTCCTTCTCTGTTACCATATTAATGTTAACTTTATGCTTTTACTTTTTATTTTTCCTCTCTGCTATTAACCATTTCTGTTTTTTTTTCCTCTATATAATTTAACAAAAAGCGATTTTTGTGATTTTTTACTAGAATGTAAGTTTCGGGTAACTTATTTTTTTTATTTAAACACTTTTAATCTTTAGTAACAGAGGAAAACATAACAAGTTAATGTTTTATTTTTTATTTAATGTTACAAATCCAAAAGTGCATTGTTTAACTTTTATAGCCAAGAAACATTCCAATTGCAGCTGAATATTTAATTTTTCGAATATTTTAATTTTTTAAGAACAAATTTCAAAAATGCTATAAATATATATATATATATGATATTTATTTTTTTAAATGAAATTAACCCTCTATTATGTGCTTCATGGCAAGAAAAACCTTCCAATCTAAGCACACAAAAAACTACTACTAGGAATATTTTACATCAGACTTCCCAAATAATAAATTTCATTATCTAATTTATTCTCTACAGTAATTGTTATTTATGGTTTAAATTTTAGCCCTTAATATTTTATTTTGATTTAGTTTTGATTTGAAAATGAATTTTTTCTAGTCTCAAATGATGAAAGGCTTAGTTCGATTGGCGATTTTGCGTTTGAAATCTGATATGAAAACTTTGCTTGATGATGATAGACTTCTCAGCCATACAATTGATGAAATCTTACTCTTTTCCCGCGAACTGAAGAATCAAGGCTATCCTCAGAGTTATCCTGACATTTTACAAATACTGACATCTGAGCCATGCTTCACTAGATGGAGATCCTTAGAACATCAAGGTAGAACAATTATTTTATCGTTCTTTGTTTATGTTCGATAAATACAAAAACATTTTTCAAAAATTTCACATAAATTTACTAATTTTAAACTATACTTTCGATCCTATTTATTAGTTGAACGTTCATCCATTGTTCTTACACTTTTTATTATCAGGTCTTTAAATTATCAGGTCTTTTTTTTTTTTTTTTTTAAAGGAAGCTATTTCGTTTTTAAGAGAAAAACTGTAACTCCTGATACTTATAATAAAAAAAAAAAAAGTTTAGATACACACTCCTAAAACACATTTGATATTTTTGCATGAGTTTTAGAAAATGTTGAAATTTGTGGGCAATTCAAGAAAGGGTATAAGAAGCTAAAGAAGTGCAAAGTGACACTGATGAAGATGACGAAAGACAATCAGTGTCCGTGGAAAACCTCTTTGAGGTTTTCCACGGACACTGATTGTCTTTCGTCATCTTCATCAGTGTCCGTGGAAAACCTCAAAGCCTTTAAAACATTAATGTGGAATTTTTTTTATTAAAACAAACTGACAGAAAGAGAGCAATTAGTTATAAATGTGGGAAAGTTATTGTTTGCATTGAGAAGAAAAAAAAGTGTTGAAACTAAAATTTCTAAATATTTTAATTAAATAAATGTGTTTATTCATTTTTCTTTTGCATCATAAATATTTTTTCCGTAATTACATACTTTTTTTCTTAAAACTTTTATATACTTATTGTAAATTTATAAGAAATTAAATCTATTACTTCTTTACATACATTTTCTAGTTATTATTGGATATTATATGTTGACCTTACATTTGTTTTTCTCTCCCTGTCTATACCAATGTCCCACAAGAAGCATCTATCTATGTTCTAATGCATATGTGCAATACAGTAGTATTGCTATGAAGGAAATATTCCACAAGTTATAATTAAATTTCACTTGTTTTATTTTTAACTGCATTATTAAAAATTTTTTATTTTTAAACCTATCACATTTTTTGTGAATATATATAAATAGGCATATGGATGACTTTTACTTGAATACATTCAGAGTTTAATATTTTATTTTTATATAGCTTTAAAGTGTTTGTATATAGTACATATTGTTAAGTGTGTATTGTACTTGCTATTTAGAGCAAACATGTATTCCTTTGTGTTGCTCATTCTTCCAATTTAATTGACTGTTTAAAAAATTTTCTTGTATATTTTTTAAAAATAGGATGTAAATGCATGCTATCTTTAATATGGTGTATTATATTTTTCAGGAGCATTAGAGAAAATGGATAAATTCTTAAGTCTGGACACCTCTTGGAAATCCAGATATCAAGATGAGAGTGATATTGACGATCTGCATGTACCAGAGAGTGCAGAACTCTTTATAACTCTTCTTCTAACAATGACTGGTAGGTTTAATATTTTTTTCTGACGTCGAAGATAAGAAACTCAATGTTAAAAAAAAAATTTAAAGTTAAATTTATATTTCATAAAAATTCTTTTTATTTTTTTGCACTCAGAACCTAAGAAAAGATAGCCAGATGAAAGGGATTACGGTTCAATGCATATTGATCTGAGCCTTCAGGAAGCTCAAGCAGGTTTAATGATACTAAGAATTTTTGTAAAAATAATATGAGAATCATTGTGGCTCTGGGGATAGAGCTCTCACCACCATTAAGGTGAATATTGATATAAATTCTGCTCTAAGCTCAAACAAACCACAGTGCTGACCTATTCTCAGGGATGAATGGTTCATGGGTAAAAATCTGCTTGCCATTGGGCTAATTGTGGGATGCTTTTCGGATTTTCCTTTCCTAGTATCACAAAAGCGAATAGGTTTAGTCTCATTAAAAAAATCCTCCACAAAGTCTCAATACTTAATCAAGGTGTTCCCTTATCTTTTGTATTTGGGTTCAACTTTTTCCTTACGGCTGCTACGAACTATAAATGAACCATCATGACTGGCTTCACCATGCTAAGTGCTGTAAGCAAAGGGTTAATTTTAGTAGGCTACAGAGTTGAACATTGATTATAATAAACGCAACGATTGTTCAGCGATGGTTAAAATATAAAATGTTGTTGTTGCCGTGTCTATGCATACAGTGCTAGTGCAAAGATTAGAGTCCTCCAAAAGTCTTGATAATAAGATTTTCAAGTTCTGGAGCCCGATGGCCATGGAGAATTTTGATGGGGGGTGCTCCAAGTTGAAAGAGGGAGCCGATAATGGCCTGGCAGTCAAAAACATGGTCTGGAGTTAATTGCAAATAAGGACAGTACTTGCAGATGGAATATGATTTTATATTGTTGCCTGAAATCTTCATGCGTTTGAAATGTCTAGTACGTAACCTAGGTATTGTAGAGGAGAGGGTTCTTGGGCAATTTAGATCGGGGATTGTTGCCTTGCTAAGAAGCTGGTTGTAAATCCTTCGCCTGCCAACAGCATTCACATCTGCACAGGTGACAGCTCGAGGTTGATCTTCATTGCGTACTTCCTTTACAAGGACATCTGCACGTTTTTTCCCCTAGATTCCAACATGAGCTGGGATCCACTGGAGAGTGCAACGGATATTTAATATAAAATAAAATATATGTAATTAAATATTTTATTTTAAATATTATATTTTTAAAAATAATCATTTTAATGTAATTAAATACAATATTTTAAATTTTTCTATGTTTTTTTAAATTTCCTTTTTCAAAAAATATTACTTAGATTGTTATTAGAAATTGTGAAAATATTCGTAAGCTTTCTTTCTAATAGAATGTGAATTTCCAAATTCTACCTTCATCCTATTATGTAACAATAATATACATATTTTTCTTTAAAAATTTTTTTCTTTTATATTTTAATAATTAATTTAAGTTTTTATTATTTTAATTCAGTTTCAGTAAAAATAAGCAGTTAAATAATTTAGTAAAAGTCAAATGGAAATAAGGGGAATTAAAGGTATTTAACTACACTTTCTTTATTTTTCTTTTAAATAGTCTTTTAACAATGACAATCGGGTAAATAAAAGGCTCAAGGATCTGGTGATCCTGTCTCTGGTTCCAATTTCATTTTTTGACCTTCAATAATATTTAAAAAAACAACAATTCATTGTTTATGAGATTGTGAATAATATTAATAAAACATTTGTTTGATTATTTCAACTCATTATTGCTTAATTGCTAAATTAAATGCCATTTTAATTTTTCCTAATATTCATCCTAATATGAATGATATTTTACTTAGCTCTTTTCGCTTATGTAAATAACTTGTAAAGGTTAAATTGTAAGTTTTTTTTGTATAAATTTTATTTAACATATTCGCTTGTTATAACTGTCATAATAAACAAACTCAGAAACAAATAAAAATTCAAAGAATGTTTAATCTTAAAATAAAAGTGTTTTTTTTTTTTTTTTTTTTTTTTTTTTTTCTTTTTGGAGACGNAAAAGATAGTGTACTGACCATGATCTATGTGTACTAAGGTTTCCTAGCCATTCTTTTTAAATAAAATAAAAAACATACCAATAATTACATAACTAAACTCAGCAGCGCGTTAGCCCACACAGGGCCAAGGCCTACTGTGCCCATCTCAGTTTTCTTGACCTTTTTTGGGCTCTGGGATGCAGGAGCAGATGTTCCGGTTAGGTGGTCAGCCGAACGCGGAACCCCCAGTGTTTAGTTCCCAAGCATGCTTGGTACTCATTTATCGACCCACTGAAGGGATGAAAGGCTGAGTCAACCTTGCCCGGACCGAGGATCGAACCAGGGACCTGTGGCACGACTGCGCGAAGCGCTACCTCACAGCCACCGGTCTGATAAGTAGATATTAAAAATGTTGCTATATGTAAGCGTAAGAAACTTTTTCTGTTGTTTGTGGGTTGGTGAACAGAACAATAACTTAAGGGCAGCCTGAAACTAATTTAATAAATACATTCATATTTATCTAATTTCAAACCTTAATGCTATTGCATGAGCCAGTTTTTAATTTTTGGTTATAATTATGTTTTTTCAATGTTACATGTTTATAAATTTGTAATATGTATGACTTTCAAAATTTCAAGGTGCATAGTGTCAAATGGAACAAATAGTTTTTGGTTCACCTAGAGCTGCTAAAACTCTTACGTATTGTCCTGTTAGCATGTGTAATACAAATAATGGGATATCATGATGGTTGCTTTTGCAGTTTTAGTTTTAATGTAGTTTCCAATATGATTTAGTGAATGTAATACAAATTCCAATTCAAACAATCAACCAATTCGAAAAATTCTCAATTTCTAGAAAGGTATTGTAATGTATCTGGAAAAGACTGCCAAGTATCTTTCCTGGAGCTACAATTGGAACTCCTTGATGACTTTCGTTTGAGGTTGCATCAATTATCTCAATGTGAAATGCAAGAAGCTATTCAGCCCAACTTCTGTGGTATCATGAATGCTATTCATTACATAGCTATGGTGCTAGAGGAATGGAACAACTTACCAGTAAGCTTTTTTAAAACATGTACTTACCATGTTTCTAACGGGATCTAAAAAACCTGAAATTCGATTTTTCCAAAGCCTGATAATTGTCTATTGCTCTTGGAGCAGTGTGTGTGTGTTTATATAGTATATATATATANTATTCATTACATAGCTATGGTGCTAGAGGAATGGAACAACTTACCAGTAAGCTTTTTTAAACATGTAATTACCATGTTTCTAACGGGATCTAAGAAACCTGAAATTCGATTTTTCCAAAGCCGGATAACCAGCCTTTTAAATATTATTTAAAAGGTCAGTAATTTTTAAAAACTAAGTTTTCTGAATAAGTTTTTTTTGGTCATTCTTGATCTTAATCACAAGTAAGATGCATGATGGCTTTATAAATAATGTGGCTCTATTTATATATGATATTGCATTTGTGAATTCTTCCTATTATTGTGCAAAACATTTCAATTTATAATTTATATGCTTATGTATTATAATGTTATATATAATCAATTGACATATTAAACCGTGGTCCAGTGAAATTTTGTTCCTAACAAAATGTAATAGTTAATCTTTTTTATATATTAAAAAGTAATTTTAGTTGATTATTTCACATAATATTATTTGTTTCTGAAAATATTATATTGTTATGTATAATAAAACTAAAGTCTGACATTCGACAAATTTTCCCGGAAAAATCAAGTTTAATTAAGTTGGAATCCTAATTTTTGTATTTAAATTATTAAAATTGTATCAATGTAGAATAAAGGTTAATTGTAAGTATTCATTTTAATTGAGTTTGAGTTTATTGATATTGAGTTTATGACTATTGATAGATGTAGCAAATTCTCTTATCTTTTAAAAATGTTATGGTTAGTTTAGTTAAATTTTTTTTGTAGTTTTTCCTGCAACTCCACACCTACAGGAAGAAAAAATTAGCTTGTGAAGCCATTATGAGAGGTAAAAATTTTTATTTGAAGAATATAATCATTTGAAGAATTAATTTAGCTTTTTATTAGAAAATTTTATATTTCAATTGTAATTTCATAATATATAATATAATTTGTTAACAAATATATTTATATAGAAGTTTGTTTTTCTTAAAACTGTTATTTGAAACTGTCATTTCATTTTCATAGCTGTTCTAAGCTAATGACAATTACGGAAGAAGATCTTTATAATGCAAACCTTGATATGCATGGTTTTGCATTAGATAGAATTTTGTATTTACATTAGCAGATCTTTATAACACAGACCTCAAAATCGCCTCAATTGGACATTTGTATATTATAGAATTTTCTGTTACATAGATTATGGAATTTTGTGTTATTTATTTATTTTATAGAATTTTCTGTTTTTAGATTATGGAATTTTGTGTTATTTATTTATTTTGTGGAATTTTGTGTTATATCACTTATTTTCAAACTCACCTACTAAATATGGCAAGATTAGTTTGAAAGATCTTAAAATGCTTTAAAATAAATTTTAGGTACAAATACTTAAAAATACAAAATAATCACTTAGGTATTTTTTATTCTCAGAAAAAAGTGAATTATGATTCTATTTAATGAGAAACAAAATAATCAACTTTAATTTGCTTAACATTTGAAATTTTCTCCTCTTAGCAAATAATGTAAAATGTTAATTGTCTAATTATAGAATTTACTGGATTGCAAATTTCATTGTTTACACCACAAAGCTAGTGTAGTTTATGGAGAACTGCTGTTTATAGAAGTGTTTTGCATGACTCTTCTAATGTATATGGATCATTTTACATATCATCATTAAGCTCACCTATTAAACATTACAATATATATCTTGAACAAATCAATATCATTTAATAACTGGAAATGTTTTAAAGTCATTTTTAAATGCAAATTGTTTTAAAAACTAAAACATGTATTTAAATATTTCTTTAGTACTATTAAAGACAGCAACAAAAAGAAAATGAACATAATTTTGATTTGCTTAAAAGATTATAACCTCTTAGCAAACAATTGTTTGCAATTTTTAGAACAGTTAATTTTTTTTGGTCAGTTTCAGAAATTTCTTCAAAGTAATTTTTATTGTTTACACTCCAAAGTTAATATGGATTATGGAGAATTGTGGTTTGTAGAAATGCTTTATATAGAATGTTTACTGCTATAACTGTTAGGTTAAATTTTTTTAATCTGTATAGCTAGTCCTAATTGCGTAGATTATTAAAATAGTACAAAATTTTAATATGAAGATCTGTTGCTGTTTTTTTAAAAATGAAAAATATTTGTTATTTTAATGTGATAAATTATGCCAATGTATTATTGTTTAGGCTCATAGAAATATTAAAGAAATTGATTTTGATGAAAAAATCTAAAATAATTGTAATTTTTTTTTAAAAACGAATTATTTATTTTAAAACTATTTAACCTTTTATAGGACAATTTTTCGAGCAATTTTATGTTAAAATATTTTTGAGTTGTTAAAATATTTATAAAAATAAATTCATTTACCTTATTACCTGAAATTGATTTGAGTTTTAGAACCATTTTTCCTTGTGGGATTTTCAGAATTTTACCCATTGTAAAGAACTGGTCATAAACTTGAACCTTTGAAGAACTAAATTTATAAATTCCATGTGTAATCAATAAACTTGATGAGAAATGATCAAATGAACGGCCACAGAATGCACAAGGGAAAATAATTCCACAGTGTTGACCTTTCTTTTTAACCCCACACGGCCTTAACTGTTACCCTCATTTACATGAAGAAAGCCCTTCTTTAGTATTATTATTATTTTGTATTTTTTTTTGAAGTTATCAGGAGAGGGCTACACAAGTACTAGGTGGGAAAAAATTTACCATGACCTTATAAAGGGTTAAGATATACAGTGAAACCTCAATTGAGCGGACACTCTTGGAACCAAAAAAATTGTCTGTTTACGAGAAAGGAACCCTAATAACAAAATTTAACACCATAAACTGTTTTTCGAATATTTTCAATGATATAGAAACAATACAACAATCTATAACAATATTTCTTTAAACCATAAAAAGAAAATTTCTATACAAAATATATAAAATGGTTTGATATAACTACATAATTCTAGATGTAGCTTACCGACTGGCCTGTGTAAGGGTCAGAGAACTGGCCTTGCATCAAAAAGGTTCTGGGTTCGAATCTCATGCAAGGCATGGATGTTCTTTCATTCTCTGTGCTATCCGTCCTTGCAGTGGGAGCAAATTTGGCCCCACCTAATAGGGTGCCCCTGAAAGTGCGGCCTGCAAATCTGCTCTTCATGTGTCTGTATGATGATAGGTCCTTCTCCAGGTGAGTATTGGAAGAAAAAAAAGATATAGCTATAGATAAATTAGTATAGTTCTTCTATTAACTCAGATATTATCACACAGAATTAAAAATATGTCCGTATTGAGAGGCGTCCATTTTGTTTGAGTGTCCATAACACGAGGTTTCACTGCATATCCATTTTCAAGTAAAGACAATTTTTTTCAGCATGGTAGTATGCATAGTTTTAAAAAAAAACTTTTCTTTGAGTTTAAGCTTTCTGTGATTTTTTATTTTCTTGATTGAAAAAGATTTTGAAGAAACCCTTACGATACAACTAATTGTGGTTGCTTAAGTTATTTGTACTTCTGCAGATTTGGATAAGTCCCAGTTGAGTATCATGAAGGGCGGAGAGCATCGGACAGCATCAGAAGAAGAACTTATAGAAGCGTCCGTGTTTGACGACGCCATCGGATTATTGAATCACGTGCAGAATGCTTTCTTACAAACAATGTGTGATAGAGTCATGCTGGATATCAAAACTAAGAGCAGGCCTTATAGAAAAGAGAAGTAAGATATTCGTATTAAGACCCTGATGAGATTTGTATATAAGTGAAAAATATAATATTGGATTTAAAAAATATTATTTTTAGAGTTTTCTCTTTCCCATACAGCAGCTACAGTATGAAGACGATGCTATCAATGATTTACTCTAAGAGTTGAAAGTTAAACTAGAGAGAAAAAAAAACAAGCATCTCTAACAAACCTCTTCTCATCTTTTAAGAACTAACTAATTTTTACGATATAAAATTAAATGCAAACCTAAACAAAAAACATAATTTTTTATTTATTTAGAAAAGCTCGATAATTAGTAAATTTGTTTTTACTCATAATTATATCAGCTGGGATAATTTTTATATATGCTAAATTTTAATCATCGAACCACCTTTTCATGGCACTATCAGAAGTAGCATTTCTGCACCAAAAAAATTGACACTGACTGAAAGTAAAATAATTTCTGAAAAATAAGGTGCCTTCGATAACAACTTTAAAGTCAATGGAGATAACCTCTAAGAACGACCATTTTATTGTGAAATGGAGAGTGATCGTTTCTGAGAGGTTTCTCTGTATTACAAACCTGATATAAGGAAGTTGATATTTTCCATTTGATACTGATTTGATTTGCCAGAGATTTTCACAATAATTACATTTCTGGAAGATTACATTTAGTCTGATCTGGAGATTGTAAAATTAATCGTATGATATTTTAGTTTTCTTTAAATTTTCAAATATATTTATTGTAAAGTTAATTTTATAATTATTTTTAAATGTTTGTCTTTCTTCATGATTACTATGTAACAGTTTTTTAAAAAAAAATTATGTCATTTAAAAGATTGAATATGAAATTAGCAAGAGTAATTCATTTCAATTTGATTCCCNTATTACCTTGAAGTTAATTTTATAATTATTTTTAAATGTTTGTCTTTCTTCATGATTCCTATGTAACAGTTTTTTTTTTAAAAAAAAAATTTATGTCAATTAAAAGATTGAATATGAAATTAGCAAGAGTAATTCATTGCAATTTGATTCCCAAAGTGGTTTTTCATAAGATGAAGAAGTTTTACTTTTGCTTAGTAATAGGTTTAGGTCATTTTTCAGTTATTTTTAGTGTATGAACCTGTGACTGTAATGTTTTAATGTATGAATTTATTTTTAAGTTTACCATTTAAGAGAATTAAAATTAAAGACAGGCTTTAAAATTCAATAAAGACTTTTAGCTATAATTGAAGCAATAGAAATTTTACTTAATTTTTCAATCCCGCTTTCATTTAAGATTTAAAGATTAATATGTATTTGATAAAGTACTTTATACTGACTAATTTAGTATCAGCTTGTAACTAAATTAAAAAATTAGTATACCCATTCCTAATAGGATAAAAAATAATTTATTGATTGACTTTAATGATTAAAAATGATGGTAAAGAATTTTATAGTGATCAATGTCATCAATTTTATATTTATTGATGTAACTTTTTTTTCTTTACTGTACTGGAAAATGTTTTCCAGTTAATTGAACTGAGTACGCACACTCCCTTAAGGAAATCTTTATCTTAGGATACCACCGTAAAGTGCTCCATTGTCTTTTCTTCTTTTCATGGTTTTTGTTTCCATTTGTTTCTTTTTATGTCAAACAGAATGCTGCCTAATTGTGTTACCTAAAAAATTTATTATTGTATGTTTTTGATCAATAATTAATCTCATAGATCACATATTTGATAAACATTATTATTATTCCAAAGAATATTTTTAATTCTATTTATTTTTGAAATTGAATGATTATTTTTATGAATTGCATAATCTTTCATCTAAAATCTACCGATTATGTTCAAGCATTTTTTGAAACAATTTAAATGATTTCATAAATTGCAGATTGTTTAATTCAAGCTTACAAAGCATTTTAATATAGGATTGTATAAAATTTATACTGATTTTCAAACTTTTATAATTCATTGCTGTATTAATTGCTTTGTTAAATTTCAGTTACCAAAAGTACATTTGTATTTAATCTGTAATAAAGTGTTAAATTACAGCCTCTTTAAAAACTTAAAATTATTTTGGAATTTGCAAAATATTGATTAAGAATAAAGAAAAAATTTAATGCAGTTTTTTTATGTATGCATGCATCTGTGAAAAGAAGTGATTGAGTATGGATTATGATGAAAATCTTATTAAATCCAAATTTTAAAACGCATTATTTAGTGCCGCATTTTATTTTAATATTGTAATTTTTGTATCTTTGACTACTATTTAATTTACTATATTGAAAAGAAATTATGAAAAAGCTGTTTAAAAGATAAATTTAGATTGCCTTTTCTTATACCGCAATTTCTTCTTTTTTAATTAATTATAAAAAATTTGACCAACATCTGTTAAAGTAAGACTTTTTGTCATTTCAAAAAGTAAAAAAAAAAAAAATATATATATATATATTTGTGGATTTCATTTCTTTAAAGCCTGTTTTTCAGTAGTTAATGAGACAGATAGATTCCATCATAGATAAATTTGAATTGTGCATTTGGTTTCATCATATGTATAACTATAAAACAGTTTGTAATGAAATGATATTTATTTTAAATAATGTTGCAAGTATAATTATATGTATGAAATTTAACTAATTATAAGCTTAAGTTCTTAGAGTATATTAAAAAAAAATTAAAGTTAAATTAAAAAGATCTGATTTAAATCAAATGAATCAGATTCTTTTTTTTATTTAAATAAAAAAAAAACGAACCTGCTTTTTAACAATGAAAAAGAAAAAAATGTTTTTTTTTTTCTTACAGAGAAAGTGAAATCATCATCCTATTTTTCCCCATATTATGCTTAATGTCTTGTGCACAGGATTCAATTTTCATATATATCTTCTTTCATGCATCATCCAATCTGTGTAAATATTTTGGTTTTAAAATTTATGTTGCTTACTCTTTTATAAATATAAATTATATCTATATGATTTACAGATGGTTTTGTATGCCCGTGGTACAAGATAAAAAAGCTATGGAAATTTCTTTAGCCGCCTATCCAATGTTGGAAATAATAAGTACAAGTTTAAACAGTCTTCAAGAATTGTTAGCCAAGCCACTGTTTACAAAAATATGGCAACAAATCGCAAGTGAACTCAATTGTTACTTATATGAAGAGGCAAGTGTCTTTTATTTTTAAATCTTATGTATGATTTGATTACTATATTATTTCAGTTAGTAATTATTCTTCAGTTTAGGCACTCAGAACCAAATTCTCCTAAAAATATTTTTGTCTGAATTATGTTTGCTAAATGAAATGATATAAAATGTTAGTCACCATATTAAAATAAACGGTTTAGTTGAATAATTATTTAAAATAACTTTGTATCAATGGATTAGCTAATGAGATTTCATGTATTAGAAGGGTCATAACATTGAGGGGTGCAGTCACACTTAATAAACGTAAACTGTGTTAAGAAAAATTTATAATATTTTTACTCTTTAATAATTGTAATACTGTCAATAAGTTTAGATACCAATTAAAAAAATTAATTACACTAAATATGTTATTTCTGTTTTATTATTGTTATAATTTATTTCTTACTCATGTATTTTTTTAGTGGCTCTAAAAATTTAATTAAATAGTATTCTCTATGATGAAAAAATTTGGCTACATATTTTTTTTTAGATCACACAGATGATTTTAAAGGGAGTGATTATTCAAATTTAATATGCTTTTTATGCTTAAAGAATGAATTTTCATAATTACTGCAAGTTTTTGAAAAAGAAATAGTAATGTTAAAAAATAAAATATTAGGTATGAATATAATTTAAATCTGATTAGATCAAAATAAAAGTTTACCCTATCAGATGTTTGAGTTACCATTAGTTTTGGTATTTCTGGTTCCTTGGTTTCGGTTAGCTGTAGATCTTCTAAACTTTTATATCATTTTAGAAAACATTATATGGTAGGGTATGTAAGCTTACTTTTTTGACTGCACTTAATTATTGTATTGTCTATTTTTACTGTATAGCAAAATCTGTGACTTTTTTATGTATCATGACCTTACTTTTAGGAATGACGTTTTTTCAGCTGAAACTATTAACTAGGAGAGTGACTATTACCTTGAAACTCAAATCTCCCTTCTTTTTTATGAGGGAGTTCATAAATTCATATTGTTAAAAAACACATTTTTTGAATAGCATTAAAAACATATCTTTCTTCTGAATGTTTGGATCTCTATTCAAGTCATCAATATAACTGATTTTTATCCTGCAAGTTAAGCGATCTTTACCTCCCCTTCGGTATTATTGTGACAAACACAGCAACTGCTCATTCAGAATTTTGAAGGTTTGCAATAAATGAGATAAATTTGAATGCATAATTTTAAAACTTCATTGCAATACTGTGTGCAGTATTTTAGCTGACTGTGAGCAAACTGAGGCAGACTGTGAGCAAACTAACTGTGAGGAAAAACAGCCGACCCAATTTTGGGTTTACAACTACTAATGTTCAACTCCGTAGCCTTGTAATTTTGAACCCAATCCGGAAGATAAGGGAACTCCTGTATGAAGTATTGGGAGAAATTCGCCTTCCTCGAGGACATTTTTGATGGAACCAACCCGCATTAGCATTACATGGTGAGAAAAACTATGAAAACTTCCTATGGTTAGCCCGATGGGAAGGGGGCTATAACTCATGTTCCGTCTACCACTGAGGATATTTTAGGTCAGCACTATGCTCGGTACAAACTGGTCGCACAATTCGTTTCGACCAACCTTCACTGGAATTCGAACCCGGTTCATCTCATTGGGAGGCGAGCACTCTATTCCCTGAGCCACCACACGTATTATCACTTTCTCTTTTACTCTTCCACGGTGGACTGGTCGTAAGACACAGTTCCCAGTTGAACGCCGAAGTCAAGTATCACTAGTTGTGGTCAGTGTGCGGGTGGGTGACCACTTTGATCAAGGAACTGATGGTGTGTGCTATTGGTCTTTGTTAAACTGTTCTACCATAAAGTGCTCGACTTTGCGTGCAGGTGGTTGGGCTACCAAAGTGGTGAGAGGGGAATTTCCTGGCGCAGAGGATTAGCCCATTGTGCAAATAAATACCAACTTTTTTCTCTTACTCTGACTTGACCATGTTCTGAATTGTTCAATCTTCTGTATAGATTTTGGAAAAGGGGGGCACCTGCTTCATTGTTGATTATTATCAATTCATCTTTTCAAAATGCAAGGATTCATATTTTTATAGATCTAAGTTTATATATAAAAGAGAATAAACATTTACTTTAAAAACTGCTTATAAATTTTCTACACATTAAATCAAAATTATTGAAATAATGATATGAAATAATTAGTTTATGATATGGATTTATGCCACAAAGTTTAAATTTTCCTTTTTGGCACAATAAACATCAGAAATATCTCATACGGATAAATTCAAGTTTAATCTACTTTTGTAATAAAAGTAAATTTTTACTGCAAAAGTAAAATAGAAATCTTTTAATTGTACACTTTTGTATATTTTTCCAGACATTTTTTAATTAAAGGGGTCGTTCAAATATTATGTAAACACCTAATGGAAGGAAGAGATTTTGATTTATTTTTGCGGACAAGAGGAGAGAAGTGGTAGAGGTTATACACTATAAGTGTAATATAAGACATTAAAATCTTCTTAATTTCAGCATTTTTTCTATTAGTAAGGAAAAAATTAACAAAACAATTATGATCTGATTGGAAAAAGTTTCAATTTTAGATTTAAGTTAGGAATTTTAAGAAAGAACACACAAAAGATTCCTTTTACTTCTCCGCAGAAAGAAAACACAAAATATTTCTCAGACTCAAAATTTTATAGAATGAATGAAAATATGGATTTTGTTTTGTGCAAAATTACATCTTTTATTTAAATTTAATTCTAAAATTAATTTACTACAATAAAAGTCAAAGTTAAAGCGAAAAAATCAGGGATTGTGGCTGAAAGTCTTCTCGTTGGTTGTGGTATGGATGCTTGGAAAGAAGGGTACCAGCTCAGATGCTTTCCTTGTCATCTTTTCAGAATCAAAATTATGTGGCATTCCTACCATACCTATTAAAAAATAGAGCCCTGAAAAACAGGTTAATGTTACCCTTTCCTTTCATTCTTTTCTGACTGGTTGATTTCCATCTAAACATTTTCTGACTTATTGAGTCTACAACTCATAGATAGCAAAAGAACAGGTGACCCCGTGGTTATAGATAATTTTTTTTTGTCTTTTTTTTTTAAAAAAATTAATGAAAAGGTGTGAAAGTTGAGTGATTGAGACTAATTAATACGAAATTAAAATCAAAAGGTTCAAGTCATCACATGAAATAGGAGTTAAGGAAATAATTGAGTTATTGTACATCAAGTTAAGACTAAGTACATCCAATTGACTATATTTGTAAACTTTTATGCACTAAAACTATTTACTTTATATTCAGTATTGATATATTGTTTTCCTTTTTAGTGTTAAAGATTCGTTTACCTTACTAAGCTTGAATAGTGCACCTGCTATGTTATTGAGAGAAACTTTAAAGCATGAAGATGGCTTTAAGAGTAAAAGTAGCGCATTGGAAGAACTTGGAGTATTTAGTCTTAGTCCATCTCAAGCACTCATCATTCTCTCTCAGAGAAATTACATAATTGTACATTTATACTGTATTGTAAATTATTTCTTTCAGTGTAATATATGAAATTTTTTGTACATAAGACTTTGAAATAAAATATTTTATTTCTTTAATTAGTTTGCTATAATTTCAATCTTATACATTCTTCAAAAATTTTTGGAAACCATGACCAATTTTTAAGTACCAACATAGTATAAAATGGGTAGTAACATAACTGTTCTTTGTAAATGCAAAACAAAATTCAATATTTTTAACCCTTTCAGGTTATAATTATTATCTTGGTTGGATTAAATTTTCGATGGAATATTATGTATTGGTTGATAAAGAAACAAATATGCTTTTGTTTTCCCAGGAGAAATGCTATTGCCCTTAAATACAATTTTTTATTTTTATATAGTTTTAAATGCCTATCAATTTAAGTGAACTCAGTTGTGTAACTTATATCAATAGTAATTACTAAGTGGTTAAAGGCAGACATGAACAGTAAAATGATGTAAGGGCTGAGAGTAGATCACAAAGGTTTATTTAAAATAAAAAATATTTTAAAGTTCCAATAGCTTTTTAAAATTAGTTCACGATTGTTATTTTCAGTATTCGTATTCACGCGAGTTTAAAATCCAATATTGTGATTCGTATTCAAGCGGATATGCATGATTCTTATTTGTATTATGATTTGTATAAAAATTTGATATCGCAATTTCTATTTTCACTTTTTTAAAATCCAATATCGCAATTCATATTCACACGATTTTAAAATCCAATTTCACGATCCTTATAATAAAAAAGTTTTCTTTTAATCAGTTAATATAAAGGAGTAATATTCTTCATAGGTAGGTAATTTAATTATAAATGTTAGTTAAAAAAATTATGTTAAAATTTGAAACATGATTGGTATATAAATTTAATATCGATATTTTGCCCATAAAATTTTCAGGGTTTTTCTGTTTGTGTCCTGTATAAATGTTTTTGTTGAGCTGTAGATGAATAATTTAACAATAGCTAGTTAGAAGAAATCATGTGTTATTTGTTGCATTGTAACCTATGCCTTCTGAAACTCTTGCTAACTGGAATATTTTCTCAGTTGGATTAGCGATTTCGGATAGCGTGTTTACCTTAGAATTTAATCGTCGAATTCTTCAAGGTTTTATTTTACTTTTATTAATTAAGCTTTTATCTGAGCTTCAGGGTGCATAGTTCCTTTTCCCAGCTATTTTGGAAGTTCAGGTCTGTTTTTATCTTAATCCTGTCATTAGTCTGTTTTTATCTTAATCATCTAGGTCTGTTTTTATCTTAAAGTTTTTAATAAATAGTTAATTTTGGCAATTTAGTTTTATTTTATTACTCGTTTCCCCCCACAGTTTTGGAAGCTCTGATTTTGATTTATACAATGTTGACTAAAATGCATTACAAATTGGTTTAAAAAAGATATCCAACCGGAACAGTGGCCCTTCAGAATAAAATTGCATGGTAGAAAATCTTTGGAAGTCAATGATTTGTATATTGACTGCGACACATTCCATGTCTCATTTATTACCTACTCCCGATGATAGTGATGAAAACGAC